ATTCAATGCCACAATGACTGTAACATTCAAAGTCAGAGTCGTGCAAATCTTGGGTTGGACCCCCATGATGATCCCAAGCATCACCTGCATTCCATGCGGTAGCTATTGGTGCGTTTGGGCGTCACATGTAACTGGAAATGTTTCTTCTGTTAGGTTCTATAGTGACTTTTTTCGTAGTCATTTGCATATTTTAGTATTATGCCCCCAAAATCAAATACCCCCTACTTTTTTTTAATAGTATATGTTATTCACTCTAAAACGACAAATATCCTCTATGTATTCTGTGAAATACGTGACGGTCTGCATTGAATAGCAGTCAATTTCATTTGGTAATTCCGGTCTCTATGGGTATCTTTTTCTCTATTTGTCATTTGTGAATCGGCCACTTTTAATTACCTCTGCATTGAGTAAAGACATGTGGTTTGCTTTATTTATTTCATATGTGACTCAATACCATAGAGAACCAGACGTCGGGAAGGGATTGTGTCTTAAATAAGGTGTATCAGGAGCCCATATTTTCACGGTATATTAAAAACAATATCAATATTAATTGGAATGGACCGATAGTGAATTCTAATTCATGTTTTTAATGTCCCTACCCCCAGTACCCATTCACTTGATTTAATATTTATTATTTATACCCTCCCCCCCCCCCCCATGTCTATATAGTTTGTCTTGTCATTTTTGTTTTGTGTGCAGTGTGGTTCTCCTGCACTAACTACAGAATTAGACTTATGGGCCCTTTAAAGAAAAGTGACATTCCGTCGGCTTTTCGGGTAGAAATCGTGGAATGAGCTTTATTTTGTAGGTTTTGATGTTAAATGACAAAAAAACAATGTTGACAATTTTTCCGAGTAGGTCTTCATAGTATGGGAGGCCATTATCTGAGGGCAGCCATTTTGTGACAATATTCCAACTTACTTTTTTATTTTCACCTTTTTTATAATGTTATCGACTTATCAACTGTGTTTTAGCAATGTATTAATATTGGCAGGGGTCGTGACTATATTTCAGATATTTTCCCATTACTTCATGAAGATATTTCAAAGATGGCGACCATTTTTGGCGAGAAAATCGGACGATGTGCTAATTTTGATTAAGTAGTAAGTAGTGTTTGGTGTAAATATATTTGTTTTCAGGGACATAGATTCAATTTCTGCCAGTTACAACTGTTTAAAATGATCACAAGTTTACCTATTTGCATATTTCCACGATGACGGCCATTTTTAGCGGGACAATGGGACGATGCGCTAATATTGATTAAGTAGTCGTCTCTGTGATCAGGATATATGTTTACGGGACGCAAATTCCATTTCTGCCAATTACAACTGTGTAAAATGGTCACAAGTTTACCTATTTTGCATATTTCCAAGATGACCGCCATTTTTGGCGGGAAAATGGGACGATGCGCTGATATTGATTAAAGATGGGTTCCCAGAAAAGTATTTATCGGGTGGTTATTTCCAATAAAAGTATGGCAATTTTGGTATATATGGAAAGTAAAGATATCCAATCTTACTAGAAAAATACTGGATTCCCCGAAAAACACTCATGGGGCGTATACAGGACAAAAATGTAAGGGTTCCCCTAATCAACAGCCCGACGATTAAGAATTTCTGCACGCGTGATGTCCATGAAGGTCACACGCGAACATTGAGCGCTTGATGTACAAGTTGATAAACTTTATGAAGAGTTAGACGTACAACACTTTCTGAGATAAAAATGACGGAAAAAGACGCGGGTAGTAGATAATCCGAGAATTTAATTAGGATTCGATATTTGTAATAAATAGTAAGCGATTAAAGACAACGTCGTCTTATGTATATGAATTCTCCTCTGATTTCCAAGACGTGACGTAAACATGACCTAGTTTGATCGAATTTTAATAGCAGGGCATTCCTTCGCAATTACAATGTTTGGGAGGGATTTGAAGCATAATTATGACAAATTAATTAGTTTGAATATGTTTTTAGTCCATATATACCATTAAATCACCCAGTTTGTACGCGGGAACCCATCTTTAAGTAGTCATCTTTGGTATCAGGATATATGTTTTCGGGACGCAGATTCCATTTCTGCCAATTACAACTGTGTAAAATGGTCACAAGTTTACCTATTTTGCATATTTCCAAGATGGCGGACATTTTTGGCGGGAAAATGGGACGATGCGCTAATATTGATTAAGTAGTCGTCTTTGGTATCAGGATATGTGTTTTCGGGACGCAGATTCCATTACTGCCCATTACAACTGTGTAAAATGATCACAAGTTTACCTATTTTGCATATTTCCAAAATGACTGACATTTTTGGCGGGAAAATGGGACGATGCACTGATATTGATTAAGAAGTCGTCTATGGTATCGGGATATTATGTTTACGGGGTGCAGATTCCATTTCTGCCGTATACAACTGTGTAAAATGATAACATATTTAGAATATTTCCAATATGGCTGCTATTTGTGGCGGGAAAATGGGACGATGTGCTGATTTTGATTAAGTAGGCCGGTTTTTGTGCAATATGTTTTCAGTGGCAGTTCGATTTCTACTATTTACAGGGCATTTTCTATACACATTACTGAAAAGGTTTCTGAATTAATTTCTGCTATGTTTAAGCTTGTAGCATGTTGCTGAAAGCCAGTACCAGGAAAATAGCACATTTATTTGGTCGATCGCATTTTAGTAGTTGGAGTCCAATCTGATTTTAAGACTTTGTGGCTTCATCGAGACTTTCAGTTTATGTTGTCTGTCAGTTATAGATACAGAATTAACAATGGTTAAAAATGTGAAATTATTGAAAAGGTAATTAATAAATTAACCAGCGGCCGCCAAGCAGGATACGCCCACATTTTCGAGAGATGGATAGGGAACAAGCTAAAAATAAAGTAATTTTTCGTACAATCAGGGGTCATAATTCAGGAAGTTACAGTCCGATATGCACGAATATCGAAAGGAACCACGATCTTTGGGTTATAAACTTCCATTTCAAGTTTCAACAAAATCAGATAAAAATTGTGAACTCTATTGGGTCCACAACCTTGATATACCATATTTTTACGCTATTTAAGAACGAGGGGCGGCAATTCTGTCTGTCAGTTTTGGGCCGATTTTCACGAAATTCGAACTCAGCCGTCCATAGGGTTTAACGGTAATATAATAATACGTTTTTTAAATCGGATAAAAATTTTGACCTCTATAGGGTCCACAAGCTAAAAACGCGATTTTTCGTACAATCAGGGGCCATAATTCAGGAAGTTACGTTCCGATATGCGCGAATATCGAAAGGAATCGAGATCTTTGGGTTATAATGATACATTTCAAGTTTAAACTAAATAGGATAAAAATTGTGACCTCTACAGTGTTCACAAGCTAAAAACGTGATTTTTCGTACAATCAGGGGCCATAATCCATGAAGTTACAGTCCGATACATGCCAATATCGAAAGGAATCGAGATCTTAGGGCGATAAACCTATATTTCAAGTTTCATTGAAATCGGATAAAAATTGTGACCTGTAGACTGTTCACAAACAATTGTGGACGGACGGACAGGGGCGACGACAATATACGTCCACATGAAAATGTGGGCGTATAAAAAGTAGAACAGAAATGTATACATGTATAGTTGCCTCGACTCGACTTGGGGAACTTACATTTAGCTCATAGCCGAGTATGCAGCTTCCTGGGCCCGATTCCTAGAAAATTCTTAAGCACGTTCTTGTGCTTAGATTTTAAGTAGACTTCATTGTTAGCACAAAAACTTAAGTACAACTTCGTTCTTAAATATAGTCAATCTAAGCACAAGTCCCAAGCAAGGTATGCGGCTTGCTTACCAACCTTAAGTCTGTTTCTGCTTCAAAAAGATGGCTGACCGTAGAGTTATTCGACGGCATTTCCGACACCTTTTGATACCAAAGAGACAGAGAAAATCCTTCCCCAGAAGAAATTAAGAATGCTATAGAAAATTTCGCTTCTACCCTGAAACCACTTTATTTATTTGCCAATTAGTAAACAATAGGCTACCAACACACAGGCTACTTTAAGATCAGGCGCTGTTACAATTATTCAGTTAGTTTGTATTCGTCTGCGTTTTTTTATCTTGTGGCACATTTTATATGTGTATAGGGGACATGTCAAATGCATCTAAATCAACCATATATATATGACTTCAATGAAGCAGACGACAAATTTATGACGTAATTCGCATACAAAAGTTGTTTTTAAGACATTAAAGAGCTTCGTAGTCTCAGTTTATGGTCAACTTTACCAGTCACAAAGTGCTTAGACTTATACTTGACATGTGCTTACGTAAGAATGGTCTTGAGAATTTTCTAGGGACGGTATTTTTATAAGTTTCTTACGTAAAACAAGTGAAGCACGACTTTGTGCTTACTTTAAGAATTTTCTAGGAACCGGGCCCTGTATATAACCTTTGTATTATGGATGCTATAAAGATATATCAATATAGTTATAACAACAAAGTGTTCTCGATTTAATTGATCATGGAGTAAAAATGTACACCAAATTTGAACAAAATCTGTCATAGCATATAACCTCTATCGTGCTTTTCGGAGGAAACACAAGTCAAGATCAGAAGATCCAATTCGCAACAAAATCGAACTCCTCCAAGATCTTTTGATCCTTAGCACATATTTTAACTTTCATCTAAATCAGGCCACACTCCAAAACCATGGTTGCCTAAGCAGGAGTCGTCAATTTATCCGGAAGTTTTTGTCCGATTGTCATGAAATACGAACTCATCTGCAATTGTTGTGTAATTGGCATGTTTGAACAGTATTAAAATAAAATCGAAATTGTGACCTCTAGATGCTCCAAAAGCTAAATCCATGAAGTTACTGTCATATATGTCAAAGTTGAACCCATCCAAAATATTTGTGATCGAACCATAACATCCCATTTAGAATTGTCACCAGTGGAGTGTCGAAACAACATTTTAATATCACCCAAAAATGGGGTTTGACGTCCAATCGACTCAACCAGGTCATTTCAGGACTAACACATGGTACTATTATATTTCAATAATTCAAATACAGTAGGGTCTTTAGCAAATGGACAAAACCGAGAGAAAAAATCATGAAGTTGGGCAGATGATTTCTTACAAGCTTGGGATCCAAATGTGCTACTTGACTTCCAGCCACCTCCACCACCAATCACTCAATAGTACAAACACATTACCATATATAAAGGTAAATAATATTTATTTAATTATATTAGTCTAATGTTCAAAATGTACATTTTGCGCTCATACTGTATAAGATGTATGTTGTACATCTGTCCGTGATATTCTTTTAATAAAAGCCAGCTCTCTAAAACAACAGCTGACATATCTATCATAATACCTGTATCTCGTCTATCAGCTTATATATTATATAACTATTCTATATTCATACATTCTAATCACATTATCAAACAAAACAATTAACTGCCACTCTAAACTGTATATAAGACTATACAGGACTCACAAATATTAATTCACAAAATTGCCAGATTACAGCAGAACTAGCTTTACCTAATGTAAAACCGTAAATAAATCCCAGGAATAACTGCGACTTTTCTCCAGCTGCATTAATTACAATAGGTAACCAAAATCAGTGGCACTGGCAAACTTTATACTTGTCAAAACAATATAATATGAAATGAAATTTAATGTCCTACTTTTCTGCACCTACTGGGATAATGAAGACAGCACAATACAATAATCATTGGTGATTAATTAGATATGCTCATAAATGCCCTTACCTGTTAAATGGTTTCATACTTTAGATTAATTTAATTAACTCATTTTAGAAGAGATTAGGGCAGGACAAATTAATTTCACATTCAGTTATTACCTTACAGTCAATAGACTATTTTATCAGTTACCCAAGGGTTCTTACGACAGCTTGTTCGGGATGCTCAGAAAACAATTCAGTGACAGGTACAAACACAAAGTCTAATATTTCTAGTCAAAACACCAATATTTGTTGACTTGATTTGAGCTGACAAGGTTTCAACATTACTTAAACTGGTTAACTAAAACAAAAGATATGGCACTTTCCACTGTAGAATATTATTGCATCCTGGTTTTCAAATATCCCTAAAATTCAGAAGTAAAAATCAATAAATATATGGGAGGGTCAGTGACGTTCAGCAAAAAATTAACTGAACCCTTCTATGTCTGAATGGCAAGTCGAGCAGGGAACTGCTAATGTTCTTTAATAAAATATATTCTAGATAGAACTTAAACAATTTTAAATAAAACCTGGTCCCAAAACAATGTCACATCACAAAGAAAATTCCATAAATAACAGACACAGATTCAGATGTATTCAAATTCAGAGAAGTTAAATTTGTTAGCCTTCTTTACACATATATTATATTCCTTACCCTGTATTTGGTTATCAACTTATAAATGAAAGTGAAATGAAATGGAGTTTAACGTCCTACTGTTCTGCTCCGAACTGGGCTAATGAAGACGGGTATCAACTTATTACTTATAAGCAAGTATCAAGCAAAGAATTGTTATATCCTGTCTTTTAACTTTTCACCTCTGGAGGAATACCAGTAAAATCAGGTTTTACCAACATTAAAGACAAATTGTCAAAGCAAATTGTTTAATGAACTGAAAACTCATTCTATAAAGTTCTACAAGGTCTGACAAGAATGATTACTTTTGAATCATTCCTAATCAACCAGGGGACAAATGGTTTTCTATCTAGTATGGTATCAAAGTATTAATCAAACTACTGTGTATCACCTAATAATCACCCGGCAGTTATAAACGCCTACCTGTTATTGTTCTTGGAGTGTCTGGGTATTTATTATGTTGAATATGGTAATGTTTAGATACTATTATTGTTTTATCTACAAGATATGTTATTAGATCAGCATAAGTAAAGTGAGCTATGTATAAACACCCTGAATCCAACCATGTAATAACATTTACAATGTATAGACGAAATGCCACTGAAAATAAGAACTTATAAGGACTAAATTTGAAGAAAAATTGACAGTAAAAAAAAATTACTTTTATCTTCCATTCAAATTTATAGTTAAATGCATTCCTAAATATGACCAATTATTTGATTTCTAAGCTAAAAATATTACAATCAATCAATATTTAGCTGGAGTTAGTAATCTTACACAGGATTCGAATTGTATGGATTAATCAATGCATTTTCAACACCCTTTTCGCCTCTCTGTATAAATTTGTATCTACCCAATTTTAAAATGTCCATTCTGCTGCCATTTAACTGACATCTGTATGAGTTGACCAATGTTCACATAATGAGAGCACAACTGTCTTCAGTAATAATCACAAATATCTCTAACAGTTATTACAATCATCCAACAATTAATCCTATACCAAATCGGTATTGTCCTTTAACATGGTTTGCATACCCGCTCAATGCAAAGGTAAATGGAAATGGTTGTAATTTTTTCTCCATAACGGCTCCTAAACACCAATTACTATCTAACTGACCTGTTGAAAAATTAAAAATTCATGTTTTAACTGAAACAATTTGAGCTACGAGGAGGTTTTTTTCTATCAATTTATAAGTTGCTAGCAGGATACCCAGCTTCTCCCTGGGGCCTAAAACATTCTCTAGGTCATGCTGGTTAATTTCATACCACATATGTGGGGGGTTGATTGCGGGGATAAAATGTGATGGGAAAACACACACACATACATAAATAGACATCTTTGATTTTATTGATATAGATTACTATAGAAAGCATCCAGAACACAACTTCATACATATGCCATGAACTTCGACAAAACACTCCATGTATATTTAAAAGATTGTATACCAACTTCAATGTAAAAAGCATCCATTGGGAACTGTGGTTGGATAGACAGCCAGTTATATATGACTACAACTATACAAACAGTGGTGATATAGTATGAACTAATATAGTGTTACATGTATATCAAGGGTCACACCAGTTTTACTGATTTCAAGATATTTTCTAATGATCATTACTGATATATTGTCTTGCCAGGAACCTAATAAGTTATTACTAAACATATAAACCATATCTGACTTATTGAAGTGTTTAGATTAGTAATATATTGGTAAATATTACCAGTTATTCAAAGATGCAGATTTGGGTTAATGGGGAATAGATCAATAATATCCTTGAGTGACAGGTGTCGTTATTTTGATTTTTTTCCCACTTGATCATTCATTGATCATAGTTGTGGTTATATTAGATTCATATTATCCAGAGGATGCAATCATTTGTCAAGAATGACAGGGTTAGGGGAAAAGTCTACCACTGTATTGAACAGGAAATGTTGCCGTACATGAACACAGTATTATATGGGAAACATATCTGTGTATAGCATGCCAAGCAGGCTAATGTTGATTAACATCACTACAGAATTTAACACAGTTTACAATTTAACTTCATGCATTTCTGTGTGGTTAACAACTGAAAACACTGGTAGTATTTATTTCACAGATTTTACTGTTATCAGCAGATATTGGTCAATGGGGCATATATTGGCTGATTGTGTAAAATCATTAGTGAAAAATACTGTAATTTTAACAAACAAACAAGAGACTTACCTTTAAAAGTAACATTAGCATTAGGAATTTCTAATTGATAGCCTATTGTTGCTGTACTTTCTCCTAATCGTAAACTGGTTTCTAATTCAGCTCCTATTTGTAACTGTTCATTTATTTTGTGTGAATAACAGGTGTGAAGGTTTCCTGCAAAAGGGCTAATATTAGCACTGGCTTGCCAGCTTTCACCTGGAAATTAAAAAGACAATCCTAGAATTAATTTCTACATAAATACACTAGCCTACAGTGTATACTTCTGTATTTAAGGAAATGGTATGTATACCAATATAATGTCAGCAAACATTTCAATTTTTTAATTAAGGACAAAATGAGTTTAATTTGTTTGGTCATGCATAGTGAAAACTATTTATTGTAATACTAGATAATGAATAAAATCCAAAGAATATGCAATTATTGAACTTCACTTTTTTGAGAAAAAAAAATAATCTGTTTTCCTCTCTTTTTGTAATTCAGGATTTCTTTTTCTAGAAAATGTCAACAGAACCCTTGCTGGATAGAATGGAACCCTAGTCACAGGTTAATTTAGTTCTGTTTCTAAATTATTTTTAGCTGTAATACCTGTTAATTGGGCTTACTTACCAGAAAGACGACCAGCTAGAGACATAATAGTTATCTCTCCTCCAGGTACTTGTTGCCCATATTGATATAATAATTCAGCACCTAAATCTAAATTTGATGTAACTTTTTGTAAGTACTGACTTACTACAATACCTGTAAAAAAAAATAAAAAATAAATCAAATATCACCCTTTAATCATACATTATGCAAGAGCTAAATCTGCCTATTGCAGGTCTTTCTTTAGGCCTGAAATGTATTAATCAGACATTTATTAACATGAAAAGACCATAATCAACTCTCGATGCTGTTTAACGTCCGTTGATGATGAAATGCAAAAATGGGTAATTGAGACTTGGTTAATTGTCATGACAGCAGTAACAATGACAATCGAGGCTACAGAGATTTTAAATTAAGGTTTTCTCGGCTTAGAGCGAAGCAATATGAATTAAATTTTCAGCATAATCCATTTGCATTATCTATTTTTTAACCTATTACTGAGAACTGCCAGCTCTATCTAATCTTCCATAATGTATCTTTAACTAAATGAAAAGCTTAGTCCCATGCCTAAAACTGGCACTCTCTCTTTACATTGGTTAAAATACAAAATTGCTCACTTCATGCAATATTCTATAAGGCCACACACAAAAAAAAAGAATTCTGGCTCTTAGATACCTATCATCCACAAAGCTCAGCTTAGGCATGGGCCTAAGTGACCCAGGCCCCCGCGGCTTTGGAGGGCCCGCGGTTCATGGCAAAAAGAGAAAAAATTCAAATACCAAATGAAAGTTTCACGGTAATCGATTTAGCGGCGCGAGGGCTATCCCTCAATCTTCTCTGTGAAGTTCCTCTGGGTGATCGGTCTAGGCTTCTAGACTTGTATGCCATTGGGAACTGAATAGATTTCGTATGTGATCAGATATTATGTAATTATTCTTGTATTACAGACTGTTTAATTGTGTGTTACTCATGCATGCCATTCAAAAGGGGCCCCACAATTGTAGTCCGGACCAGGGCCCCGCTCCGGTTAAGCTGGACTTTGATCATCTAAATTTGGCCGCGTCAAAGTTATCCATTTATGCATTTTCGTATTTCACACAATCAAGGGAAGTAACTCTATTAAGCATTTTTTTTCGAAAAGAGGAACTGAACACTAGACTTGGCTATCGAGTAAATAACACAACAGACAATCACAAACGGCACTGGATACTGGATCAAGATCTCTTAATATGTTTGCCGAGAACTATAACTGAAAACTAAGAGAGATATGACCAAAAGTATTCTCCATGGGGAGATTGAGGGAACAGACTTTGAATTAAATCGCCACCATAATGAGTACGGTATTACCACATAATGGTCACCTAAACAAAAATCAGCAGATTTGAGAACATTTTCCCAGGAGTTAACCTAGATGAAGTCACAGAATCATTCATCTGTTACTTGAAAATCTTACTTATTTTTGGTTTTCTTATTAAGAGTAAAATAACTATTAAAATTATAATTTTGTGTTTCTTCAATATGAAAAACTAGCTAGAATTTTAACAAACTAAAAACAAAAATAGAAAAATCCACCCTCCAGCAATAATATTTTTACAAGGAATTGTGTGAGAACCAGAATATTTATTTGTGTGGCCTAATAATTTGTATTTGTGAGATGATAATCTTTTTTTTGTTAAAATATTACAATCCTAGGATTAAAACAACATCTATCCAAAGATATTGGCAAGATTATGGGTGGCCAGGGATGTGCTTACTATTACAATTTCCGTGCGGTACCGCCCGGCACCAATATTGTCCGGCCGGCAAAAATATCTTGACGCAGATTTCCGCCCACCTCCATTTTCTTGTAAAGAAAGGTAATCTAAATTGGTAAAAGCGTTTTTATTTGTTGCTTTTAACCTCATAAATTGAATAAATTATTTTGACTCGCGTCAAACTGACCTCGTATCATAGACATCTAAATATAACGTTCGTTTTCGACGAAATATATTACTTTCGATTTCTTATTTGACGCGCAGAGTTATCTGATATTTAGACTCTTTTTAACTGGTCACATCAGTGCGATGTAACTAGCATGACTGGTTAAACTAGCCTACAGCACCGTTATTGTTTAAAAATAGCACTAGCAAATGACTATTTTTAATATTTAAACTATTTTTATAGATTCGTGCAATTCTATAATTCGTATCCACGTAAATTCCACCAAGTATAAGTATCATGGTACAAAACTTGCGTTTTAAATGAATACTTCGCCGTTGAAGTGTTGAATTCCAATTATAAAATATCCGTAATACTGTAATTTGATTATCAAAAGACGATTTCACACATGTGCATGACATTATATTACATGAACTTCGTGCAGTGGACATGTAACGCCCCCTGGAATTCCTTTCTAACATCCCGTCTAAAAATTATATTATATTAATTTATATGATATATTTTCCCGACCTAATTATTTGATTTGATCATATTTTCCAGTAAATTATTCATAGTCGTTATTTCTGGAAATTGTTTTGAACTTTTTAAATGATTAAATAAACCAGTCAACGAGCTGTGTGCATCTCCATTCCATTCACCAACATGTGACGTTACGGTAGAATTAGGTCAGATGACTTGGGGGAATACGTGTTTTATTTATTTAGATATCAATACTTCATAATGCTATAAACTAGTGACAAACAGGTGAAAACATGGGTAGATGGTCAGTGTGAAATTCATAATTGTTACAAAATTGGCTGCTAGTGCTACCTGACTTCCAACCATTTGAGTAGGCGTACGACGACAATGGACCGTATACGTTCCATGGTACGACTGAACGAATGCCGACTTGTGTTTTCAATAGAAAAATACAGTCACGAGAACTGAGGAAAGAAACAAAACAATAATTAATAAATTCCTATTTTCGATTATGCCGTGGATTACGCAGGTATACAACGGTTGTTTCAGTGTCAACATTGGCAAATTGCCGTCGTCATATTCTTAAATAAATTACCACGGCTAAAGATGCCGCCCATAGTTCTTATCTATTTTCTACGGTAATTTCACTAAATAGTACGGCGCGGTGCCGTCGTAAATTTTGACCACTGGACTCGTGAAAATGCGCATTTTCGATCAAAAAAACCCGATAATTTTCTGCCAAAGATTACCGCCCGGCATGAATGTTTTTCTGGGCACATCCCTGGGTGACGATGGTTTGTTTTGACCATATCCCTTTTATACTGTCTGCAAAGGACGTTGAATGTAGACAGATTTATTTACATCTTGTCTTTTACATACTAAACGGAATCGGAAGCAGTTTTGGATTGATAATCCATTTTGAGATTCAAGTAATTCAACTTTCACAATGATATATTTCGCAAGGGAATAAAAATCCCCTTATTGACGATCAGAAGCTTTAAGGAAGTGGGTATAAAGAGAATTTTCGCAGAAAACAACAGTATTAATTTAGAAATAGACAATACAGATTAAACTATATCAAAAATTTTGGTCATAAATACTTTTGGAGTACCGGTAAGTATTATAATCCTCAGCAGTTTTCTCAACCAACTCAGCTACCTTACTGTAAATGGTGCCAAATCATGGTATTAAAGCAAAACGCTAATATATTTACCTGACTCATTAAGAGGATCTATATTTCCTAGAGTTAAAGATGCTGTATAGTCCTTGCCTTTATAATCGTTTGATGCTTGCATAGCTACACATTTATTGTTCTGAATCTAAAAATACATAAATTAATCAAATTAACTATTGTTAAATATATATCCCAATTAACAACCACTAAATTTGCTCAACATTAAATTAAACATACATTATGCAAGAGCTAAGTCTGTCTATTGCAGGTCTTTCTTTAGGCCTGAAATGTTATCTAAATTATTAATTAGACATTAATTAACCTATCCAGACCATAATCAACTCTAGATGGCATCGCTAGCCAGTGATCTTTAGTGGATTATGAGCCGATTTACTGCATAACTTTCCTTCACGATTTAACGATTAAATGGATAATCGAGACTATGCTGTTTATCGTACTGAATTTAGTAATGATGATCAATGCTAGCCGGAAATTTCAACCGCTTAGTTCTCGGTTCATAGTGGATCAATTTGAATGAAATTTTCAGCAAATTGCCTTTACATTATCTAGTTTTTAACTATCATAGTGAGAACTGCCAACTCGTTATCGAATCTCCCATTATGTATCTTTAACACATAATCCAACAAGTTAGATGTTATTCTTTGATATTCTCATATAACACCTAACATTCTAACTCTCAAAAGCTTAACACGAAAGTTGACAACTAGTTTACTTCTTTCAGACGACAGTAAAATTCACAATTTTCAGTGATCTGCACTGCCGATACATTCAACTTATATATCCATTCAATTTAGTTCACACAAAATCTTTTTTAAAAGATTTTCAAAAATTTAACACTTAACAATCCATTGCAAAGCATGTAACTGGATATGACCTCATTGAACTTATCTATTTTTCATTATTTTCAATATCAAGTCATTGATTTTGTTCTTGTAGTTATCTACGTTGTCCCAAAACATTTATATTTGGTTCTATGGGCCAGACAGGCAGTGTCAAAAACACCGCAACATTATATAAAATTATATTTAGTTTCGAAAAAAAATTTTAAGATATATTTTACCCTAACTATCTCAATATGATTGTGGACTTAACATTTATTAGATCTCGGTGAATGGGATTTTGGATGAACATGTTTTACTGGACAGCCGTAGCCGGTCAGTGTTATTGTTGTTCAATAATGGCACACAGAGGTATGACAGATCCCACTTCAAGTAAAGTGAGCTTGAAGAATCTAGTGGGACAAAGTGCTCAATAACTTGTATCATTAAAACTATATTTTATAAATATAAAATATTTATTTAGATGCACCGAACTCTAGATACTCGAAAACTTTTTTTTATGTTTTTACCCATTTTATGCTCCCTTCATATGTAAATAATCTTAATTAAACATAATTAATGTATTCACGTTAAAATTGTAATAAACAACAATATATGCGTGAAAATTGAAAGGAACCAAGATCTTTGGGTTATAAACATACATTTCAAGTTTCATCAAAATCAGATGAAAACTGATCTCTACCGGATCCACAACTTTGATATACAATACTATTTACACTATTTCTGTACAAGAAGCAATCATTTTGTCTGACAGTTTTGGTCCAATTTTCACAAAATTCATACACAACCGACATTATGGTGTAATGGTGATATATTCGAAGATTTTTTAAATTGGATAAAAATTGCGACCTCTAGGCATTATGAATTTTCATTCGGACCCCATACATAGTATGTACATGTATATCAATATCTAATTTAAGTTTTTTGTCCATAATATGCATTTTAGACCTTCAAAATGTTTCAAAAAGCTCAGTCAAAAACATGCAATATAGAAGGGTCATAGTTTAACTTTTTGTTTTCAATTTATCCTGAATAAATGAAAATGGAGTTATGTCCCTTGACAACTAAATCCTGAGAGAACCTTTGTTATGCATTCTAGCAAGCTGCAGTGTCATGGATTATGACTAAATGTAGTCTAGACTACCATAGTCAGATGACATGCTGTGATTCATGAAGACGCAAGTCAAATGTTAGGGTTCCTCGTATTCATAATATCCTCCTGGTTATTTTACATTACATTGAAAACTGCTGATATTCTTACCTGAACAACTGCCTTTGATCTTAATCTTTCAGTAAAAGCATGAATAATACTTGCATTTAAATTACCACTAGCATCAACATCACCTATTATAATTGGATAAGCCTGCAAAAAAAAAGGCATTTTATTAAATATACTGTTACATTAAAGAGATACTACCAATTTTGATAAGTGTCCACAGGGGTGAGGTATGTTGGAAAAGTGTCTGCAAAATGTTTTACTTTTTGGGGCTTGACATATATATGTAGGTAGAAGGAGACATGAAATCACACTGAATGCTGATCAAATTTAGTCATTATTCGCATGCCATTCAAATCAACGGAAATGATCATGTCTTGGGAGTTTTTTTGTTGCATTTTCAGGATTCAAGGAACTGTGAAACTTGTCCTTTATTATTTTTGTTTCCTATTTTAAAGATGCATTAGGTAAGAGTTAAATCTGTCTATTGCCGGTCTTTATTTTGGCTTCAAATCAAATTGCTTAACTCAGCTTAGTCTAAGCGGAAAATGTTCATTAAACTCTGTCAAGACATTTGCCTAAGGCTAATGGACAAACTCTCTAATCGGCATTTAGTAAACATACATTATGCAAGAGCTAAATCTGTCTATTGCCGGTCTTTCTTTAGGCCTGAAATGTTATCTAAATTATTAATTAGACATTAATTAACCTATCCAGATCATAATCAACTCTAGATGGCATCGCTAGCCTGCGATCTTTAGTGGATTATGAGCCGATTTACTGCATAACTTTCCTTCATGATTTAACGATTAAATGGATAATCGAGACTATGCTGTTTATCTTACTGACTTTAGTAATGATCGAGGCTAGGCGGAAATTTCAATCGCTTTGTTCTCGGTTCATAGTGGATCAATTTGAATAAAATTTTCAGCAAATTGCCTTCACATTATCTAGTTTTTAACTATTATAGTGAGAACTGCCAACTCGTTATCGAATCTCCCATAATGTATCTTTTAGTCATTGAACACATTATAAATAAAACACAAAAATTCTATGGAAAACCATTACTGTATTGTTATTCAGAGATATGTTTCTACAATGATTCAGGCCTTCACGTAAAAGGAACGCAATCGCTCTCACTCTCCTGGATGCGCCTGGATGTCAGTCGAGGTGTGCTTATTATAGTTCCCCTCAAAGAAAATAATCAGGAAAAGTATACCAGTAACGAAAATTACTGTCAATATCGACAATCAACTTGCTTGTCGGCTACAATAGCAGCAGTGATGGGATTTCAAAATTTTTGTTGTTGAACATTTTCTTCCCGAAAATAAAGGGACATAACTCTTATCGTTATTTAAGCCGGCATTTTCAAACCACAATTAAATATTCAAATTCATACGTAATAAAAAAAAAATAGGTGCACCTCGTTATTTTTCATATTTAATTATTTATGTCAATAATATTCCTACAAGATTACATGACATCGTAATACCACAGAATTAAAGCGTGCCGACTACTGCCCATCCGTACCGGTTTCATATTCCCCCCAAATTACCGTATTTTTCGGGTCATAAGTCGATACATTTTTCAGCAAAGTCCGGCATTCGTCTTATACTCCGTTTCGATTTATTTACAGAAGGTAAAAAGATAGGTTGCCAGGCAACGAAACATACGCCCACAGCAACTAAATCGTCCGGGCAGTCAACAAGGGTTGTCGCATATTTTTACTTTTTTCGGTAATGAAACATTTATAATACACTAAAATCTGATTAAGAGCAACAACTCACGAAGTAATTATCAGAAAACTATTAGAATTTGTTTGGTTTAGAGCATCACAAGATTTTGCAAAGTGATCAAGGGCCATAACTTTGGCAGTAATTATCGGAAATCATTGAAAATCAATAGGAATCTTCGTCCCATGACCTCAAACACTGTGTATAAATTTAAACTCAGATATTAACTTTAGCCTCTAGAGCATCCACAAGATTTTTTGAAGTGATCAAGGGCCATAACTCTGGCAGTAATTATCGGAAATCGCTGAAAATCAATAGGCTTCTTCGTCTCATGACCTTATACACTGTGTATAAATTGAAAGTCAATCGGATATTAACTTTGGCCTCTAGAGCGTCCACAAGATTTTTCAAAGTGATCAAGAGCCATAACTCTGGCAGCAAATATTGGAAATCGCTGAAAATCAATAGGCTTCTTCGTCTCATGACCTTAAACACTGTGCATAAATTTAAAGTCAATAGAATATCAACTTTCGCTTCTAGAGCATCCACAAGATTTTTTGAAGTGATCAAGGGCCATAAGTCTGGCAGTAATTATCAGAAATCGCTGAAAACCAATAGGCTTCATCATCTTATGACCTTAAACACTGTGTATAAATTTAATGTCAATCGGATGTTAACTTTAGCCTCTAGAGCATCCACAAGATTTTTTGAAGTGATCAAGGGCCATAACTCTGGCAGTAATTATCGGAAATCGTTGAAAATCAATAGGTTTCTTCGTCTCATGACCTTAAACATTGTGTATAAATTTAAAGTCAATCAGATACTAACTTTGGCCTTGAGAGCATCCACAAGATTTTTTGAAGTGATCAAGGGCCATAACTCTGGCAGTAATTATCGGAAATCGCTGAAAATCAATAGGCTTCTTTGTCTCAAGACCTTAAACACTGTGTATAAATTTAAAGTCAATCAGATATTAACTTTAGCCTCTAGAGCGTCCACAAGCAATTGTGGACGCCAGACCGACGGACGGGGGCGACGACAATATACGACCACATTTCAACTGCTAAACAATCCCATTCGACTCTAAGCACGCGCTATCGTCTAAAACAATTACCGTAATTACTCATGTTATTCCAATCGAAATATTCGTCAACATTTCTTAGCGTGTTTATTTATTTAAAAACATAAACCCCATTCAAAATATGATCATAAATCCGACAATATGCCATCAAAATAGAATCTTTTCTCCCGACATCAGATGTATTAGATTCGGCACGTTTACACCTCTTAATTCCACGTGTCTCGCGAGATTTCTACTTTTATTTTGCGTGTGTGTGAAATAGCTTTATTTAACTTCGGCTTCCACTGAAGAAATATCACAGACAAATTATCGGACACAATGTATATTGATTTGGGGTGTTAGGATATTAGGATATGTGACATATATGACTAATGTCTACGGCCGACATCAAGGAGATTAAAACGTGAGACAATGGAGAAATCACGGGTTAATCACGTAGATTAAGTTTATTGGATTGATATATAGTCCGACAAAGGAGAAGCAATGACTTCTGTTCAAGATTGAATTGATGAATTGTCCAACAAAGAATTAAGTCAGCCAATCAAGGCAGATTAAGTAGTTAATCAAGGTAGGTGTATAGATGGTATAAAACGATAATTACGTTGATCACTTAATTACCTAATCAATCCAGCCTATTATCAACAATAATCGGGTTGAGTGGTAGTTATACACTCAGTACACTATATTAATTTTGGAATTTTGAATATTATTTACCATGTCTTATGTCCGATTGGGCATATTCCTGGTCGGACAATTTAGGACATTTGGAAAATAGCGTTGGATATGTCCGGAATATACGGGCAAAATCCCATCACTGAATAGCAGTCATACCTTAGTGTGAATAGGCCATCTGGTTCATAATACGAGTAATTAGAACATTTTAAAAACACAAAACCAGCTTGCTGATTCATAACAGGTCCAAGTTTCATTTGTGAAAACAAGCCATGTGGTGAATGAAGACATCTCGGCATGGACTGTGTATCCCATCCATACAAATTCCAAGTAGATTTTAAAATAATAATTGGACTGAACATTTTATGGTTTCGCCGACCAGTATTTAGTTAAATTTAAATATTAACTAACTGAATATCCCGAGAAACAGCCATAAATAATATATTTTTCAGTCAGAAAATCCAATGCTTTCCAATTCACGATAGCATGTGACATGCATCGGTAGGAATTAGGTCAATAAACCAGCATTGCTAGATTTAGTTTTAAATGGCTTTTATACCCTCACCAGACTTGGGTGGCGTCCTTACTGCGACGGAAAATGGACGCAGAGTGTGTCAAGATTGTCATAAGCGCAGTAAAAGCGTAGTGGAAATGCCAGATGTGGTCTCCATGGTCGTGGAATGATCGCTTAGTCACCGCGTTTGTTTTAAGTATGTTCAAAACAAACGCCAAGGCTCAGCAATCATTTGCGACCATCGAGACCACAGCGCAATATCTGGCGATCCCACCACGCTTTTACCAGGCTTATGGCGATCTTGACGCGCTCTGAGGCCATTTTCCGGTCTGACGGGGTAAAGAATGCGATTTTGTTCAAGTTTGTAAATTTTTGGGGACATTTTCTCGCACTGTGTTTACGTTTGCCGGCGACCTTGTGCATTTCCTAGTCGCTGTTCGGTCGCAGCAGCGCAGAAAGGACGCCACCCGGTCTGACGGGGGCATGAGACAGTAATTTTTAAAAAATAATGTCTTTATTATTTATGGCTATGGCCAAGTCGTACTGAAATCTATTTTATATAAAGCAATTTCAATTATGGTTGTCACATGATCATTATTACTTACAGCTATGGCCAAGTCATACGGAAATCTATTTTATATAAAGCAATTTCCATTATCGTTGTCACATGATCATTGTGCCGCTTGTCTATATCATCCACGAATGAATAAAAACTTTGCAAGTTACGTGATAAGACAAAAACAATAATTTGTGTGTTAAATATTAAGAAATGCCATGGTTTTGTTTCAGCTTATTTTGGCTACTGCATTTTCTGTTACTGGCCGATATACGTTTATCCATCAAATAAACAAAGACAGTAATTTATTAAGGAATATTAGCCTATTCAGAATTTGACATTCTCCATAACAAATAACCAAGAATCATTTTTGCTAGTCTGGTTATATTAAAGTTAATGGGAGCATCTAATCAACCTATTTCCTATCGGGACCTCATTAGAGGCAATTTGGCCGGTTGGTTTCAAAATGGATTAAGATCCCTGCTTTTATCACAAATGCTAAAAAAGCTCTCAAGAGATTCAGGAGAGCGCTTTACCCTTTTCCCAATTTCAGGAGAGCTTTTTTGACTCTCCAGGAATTTATTCACGTGATAATTCTCTTGTCATTTTCAAGCACAATATTGACAGTCAGAAAGAACGAAATATATACTACGTACAATCAAAACATTAGCTTTGAACATTCTACAAAAGCAGATTTGTTCTGTTGTAAAGTCCTGGAAAATCAAATTGCTAATTTCTGCTTAGCCGAAGCACAAAACGGGTCAAAATTCACGACGGCACCCGCGGCAATTGCCGTAGTACTTAGCGACGGCAATTTGCCAAGATTGATAATGAAATCGCCGTTGTATACCTACATAATCCATGGCATAATCGAAAGTAGGAATTTATATTTTTGTTTCTTTCCTAAGTTCTCGTGATCTATCGAGTTAGATCTCGAACCACACAGCTAAAAATAGATCGGTGTAGAATTTTTATTGGCTATTTTATAACAATGAATTTCACACCATCTACGTGAGTTTTCATCTGTTTGGGACTAGTCTATATACATTATGAAGTATTTATATCTAAATAAATAAAACGCGTATCCCCCAAGTCACCTGATCTAATTCTACCGTTACATCACATGCTTGTGGCTAGCTGGAATGGACATGCACACGGCTCGTTGTCTGGTGTATTTAATCATTCAAGAATTTCAAAACAATTTCCAGAAATAAAGACTAAGAATAATTTACTGGAAAATATGACCAAATCAAGTAATTAGGTCGGGAAAATATTTCATATACGATATAATTTTTAGTATAAATATGGAGGGTATGTGAGAAAGGAATTCCAGGTACATGCACAGGTGTGAAGTCGTATTTTGAAAATCAATTTACGGTATTACGGATATCATAGAATCGGAATTCAACACCTCAACGGCGAAGTACTCATTTAAATCGCAATTCTGGTACAAAGATACTTATATTTGGTGGAATCCACGTGGATACGGATTACAGAATTGCACGAATGTTCGTGTCGCTAAGCCAAAGAAATAAAACGGATTCATATGAACTGCGGTGTACGTAAAGCCCTAAACAATTTAAGGGTGTTTGTGGCGACATATTTCTGGACTAATTCTCTAATAAAGATATGATTGAATAGACATTATAAATGAAAACATTAAAACGATATATAGTTTATTATTTATATCAAAGTTTCCCAGTTTAAAAAAAAAATGCCTTAGTGTACACCAAGTTTTTAGTAGTACACCACTTTCTTCGAAACCTGGGCACAAATAAAATCAGGTGGTCACACCTGAATAGCATTTGGCTGCATCAAGCCATTTAGTCTAAACTAGTTACATGCACGCCAATGTGTATACAGGACCTTGGTTTTCTGTCCCATCCGAACGACCAGACAGCTGTCCTTGTCAATGTCAGGCCCTCCCGTCCTGCCAATATCCAACATCATCAAGATGGCAGTTTGACATAAATGTAACAGAAATAATGGGAACTTATGTCAATATGGATGATTTTAAACTTGTTGGACCAATGAGATTACTGATTATTTTGTACTGTCTGAAAATATGTCTTTCAATCTGAAATACTGCAATTTACCCAGTGGTCATTCACCTGACTGAATAGCAAACCAACCCACCTCTAAACAATTGTATATTAAATTCTCACCTCTGAAGGACTAAACTGTTTTTGTCCTATGTACGTACAGCCAAATCTGTATCCTGAGGTCTGGAAAGTACTGAGTGAAACTGTATGACTGATCTGAAAATGACTACTTAATCCTTTCGATATAATTAGCTTACCACCTTCAAATATCTGTGGAAATATATCTGAAAAATATAAATTGGCACTGTTGGTAGAGAAACTTTTAAGCTGATTCAAAGAATACAAAATCATCTGCAATCATAATGCATCTGTGTAGCCTACAATAACTCATATGGCATGGGAAATGAAATGAAATGAAATGGAGTTTAACGTCCTACTGTTCTGCTCCTAACCTGGGCTAATGAAGACGGGCATACGCCATACAGTGTGCTATGAGGGAAATTTTGTCCGGACAGCGGCACTACGGCCTACTCTTATATCAAATTCCAACTGCCAAGGGATCTTTTACGTGCACGCCAATGTGTACACGGGACCTCGGTTTTCCGTCCCATCCAAACGACTAGACAGCTTTCCTTGTCAGCCCCTCCGTCCTGCATCACTGACAAGGGAGAACCACGCCGGAAAATCTGGATGAACAATCTCGGCCAATGCAGGGATCGAACACCCGACCTCCAGGCTAGCGAGCTAGCGTCTTACCCACTTAGCCACGTGATCCCCTTTTACAGTAATAGAATTCAAAGCATTGATTGACTGAGGCATGGGTTTCAAAATGGAGTTGTAGTTGTGATTAATATATAGTTCATAACTAAGAGTACAATCGTAGGGATACAAGACGCGTGATTATAAAATTCTGAACAGTTTTTGCACAAGGGAAATAATATGCGAAGAGAAATAGAAAGAAATTGAAATATCTGTAGATAATTAAACCGATGGGTGGTATGATTTGTTAATATTAATAATTTTGGTATTTATAAAAATAAAATGGACACTAAATAACATTATATACGTATTCAGTGATTCAATGGCCTTGGCTATTTATTTTGCCGAGAAAAATGTAAAATACATTGGCATTACAGATTTATCTCGGCCACAGCAGATTGCCGAGGTTAATTGACAGGACTGCTCAAGATCAGGAAATATTAAAGATTAGATATTCAAAGGTGACATTCAAGGCCCGTAAAACGAATGTCATTCTTTCTGTTCTGTACCAGTGTTCAAAAGAAATAATCCCACCAAACTCTCTAATCAAATAATTAATACAAGGCTGAAACAAAATAAAGACTACGAATGTATTTATATTTGTAACTGCCTGAACTCATTATGGCCTACTGGGTCGAGAGCAATAGCTTACTCATACACAAAATTTCAATTGTCGTAAACGTGCCAGACACCGTTACAACAGGCAAGCCTTGCTGCCACCCACTTGTAAGAAATGATCTATCCGGATAAAAGATGTAATTAGCTGACGAGTTCAATTTTACAAGATAGAGCTTTTTATTCGTCAGAATATTTAGTTATACAATTGGGTTTTTTTAACAGGAAGTGATTTCAGACATATAGGCAAGTTTTTAATAGCCATATTTAAGTAGTTTGTTCATAATCAAAGAAATCCGTTTAAAACTTACGACTGTTCAGACAATAGGCTACATAAACCTGAACAAAATCTGATGTATGTTTTTAGCTACCGTACAACTGGAGCTCTTAAACATTTAAGAGTGCAACCTGATTTATCAACATCTCAAAATAGGCCTATGGAAATTTGATATCAGGACTTAATTTATCAATTACACAAATGAGGACCCGACATACATGTATGCAGCCCAGCAGTGGCCATTTTTTGCGGAATCGTAATGAAGTACTGGTAGGCTTTCCATCACTCATGCTCATTAGGAAAATGTTCAATTTAGAGAATTTTACTCACGTAAAGAAGTGAATTAAAATAGTGCATGCATTCGTACTTTAGTGCCGTAGACACAAATCTTCTGGCTATTTTTAGGGTTAGCTTCCAATTGTTTAATAGTTCTAAGCCTTTGGCATCAAAAATAACAATCAGAAGCTATAAGTATAACCCTAACCCTAAAAAAAGCCCAAAGATTTTTTTCTACAGCACTGGCGTAAAAAAAGCCCAAAGTGTTTGTCTCATATTTTCTCGATGTGCAGGCGCGGCGTGAAGTGCCGTAAAAATAGCCTACAGGATATTCATTATGATTATAGTTCCCCAAAACTAGCCACTTTGTATTTCATAACTGACACCAGAAGGTCAAATTTAGATGACAGTCTACTTGTAGGCTGTCAATTGAATTTGTGATGCAATTTTATGAATGATATCAATGTCTGTATAATAGACACCTTTGCATTTTTTGTGCAGATCTTCAAAGGATCCTGGATTTTGGCCTTCATCATTAGGCAATGCTGCTAAAATAGGATCTTTTTTGTCCGTTGATTCTTGTTGCGTTGGGAAAGGTGAATGACTTGGCGGAGGAGATACCAGCGGTGGGGCGGGAATTCCAACGCCCTGGGGTGGTGGTGAAGCGGCAAATACGTTTCCCATCTTTACAGCATACTATTTAAAAGAACGGATTTTGATTTCACTAGTTACTACTGCGCTGTCGGTACGTTTTAAGTCTTAATTTTCTGGCGTTTGCATTCGAGAAGCCATGTGCGACTTCGCCACCTTGATAATTGGTTACGCTGGGTCACGTGAAATACAGTTAGCTTCCGGTTTTTCTATTTCCGGAGTACACACTACTATGGAAGCCGATTGATGCCGAAATATATATAATTCCATCGTCTGCTTTATGAAGGATTTTATGTCGTTACATCATTTAAATAATAAATGACAATGGATTTCTCGTACCAAAATATACGTCTGCATGCTTAGTTTATTGATATGCTTGATATCAGCGTTAATTCGAGAAACTCACGACGTCGACTACACAAGATAAAAAATCTTTGAGTGGCATTTATTAGCGATCGGGAAACACATTATTAACAGAACACAGTTTTTATTGGGTACAATCACTTGTTTTATTCTATAAGTATGACGTTTCGACAAGTATTCTCTTATCGTTATCAAGCACAATGACATCTTGAGGTCAATATATGAAATTCATAGTGAAACCATTTACATAGATTAAATAACAGTAACAAAAAGTTACTAAATGGCATTGTGCTTGATAACGATAAGATGATACTTGTCGAAACGTCGTGCTTTTAGAATAAAACTAGTGATTGTATCCCATAAAAACTGTGTTCTGTTCATGGGATAAAACAGAGGACAAGGATCTAAATCGGAAGTGATGAAACATTTTACGATCTAAGAGCACGCCTTAAAGTAGCTAAGTCTCTAACTCAATATCATCCAAAATCTTCAACATTGAAAGCACGATTTATTTGTCAAATTAAATCAACATTGATGTTGTGATCTTACCGAAAAAAGATGGGCTTTTGATATCCAATATTTAAGACAAAATAAACATTTTACCATTGGTACACGAATCGTGTACCATAATGCGCTTCAGCCCCAGTTGTATCAAGAGGCTCTACGGTCGCGGCTAGACACATTGCACCAAATCAAACGGCGTATGTAGACTGGAATAACCAGACGCTAGAAATTTGCACTCGCTGGCTTATTTCGCCGAACATAACTGATTTGAAATTGGAGTAAAAACGGAAACCATTGAATGTAAATCAGTTTATATACATTCATATTACAGTATTATATGCGTTGCGACCCACTTTTGTCAATTTCTAGGTCCCAAATGTTAGCGATTTAGCTCCTTTAAACAAAATTCCATCACCCAACCCCTTGTTTTGACAACAGAGACCGCTTTACAGGGGTGGGGATACAAGGTATCGCATCGAATCCATTGGACTATTCCGTATAGGCCTATTAAAGTTTAGTATGGAATGTACTGCGGTTTGATATCTCATCAAAACAATACGTCAACATATCGTAATATTTTTTTTTCCTTTCATTGTGCAATGCGAGGGAAGATAATTTTGACCGACTGTGACATTTCCGCCCACTCTTCGTGGATTTATGTTTACTGGTTCGTGTAGGCCTAAGTGCGAGCCTATATGTAGGCTACAAGTGTGAACCTCCAAAATTTCATTGCCAGCTAGCCGGCGCCAGAGGGATTCAAACCCGGGATATTTATGTCGGTTGTCCATAGTTCTAGACACTCGACCACCGTGGCCCTTATTCCAATTGTCTTTAGACTAGTTTTAGTCGCAGTGTTTTCTTATAACACTGACCTCAAAATATCAACAGACCTGAATTACCTTCAGGATCTTTCATGTTCGGTTTCCATCCGCCAAGGTAAACACTTATATGGGACCCGGAAAGGTCACATAAAAACCTGTGTAAAAATATAGGTATAGAGGACATCATTTTAGAATTAAAATAACAGGAAGCCAAAGTGGGGACGATGCAAGGTGGGGTGACCAGGACTGGAATTATTGATATATCTGGGTAAAATTCATTAGGTTCCGACACAGTGCGTGCAAGAGGCTAGGATTTTGAAGCGAGGGAGAGAAAACCAAAATATTTCGACTGAGAGAGAGAGAGAGAGAGAAATGGGGTTTAACGTCCACTCGACACAAACTAGGTCATTTCGGGACGAAAATATTTCGACTGAATTGTTTGAGGTAAAATGTGATATTGTTAAAGGCTCAATACCACTCTTGTTGTAACTGAATAATATGTCCCAATATTTATTCTGGTCAACAAATTGTACTATTATACAATATTCCAATTAATTTATGATACAAATTTCATCTTAACACACCTAATTTAAAAAATTGGAAAAATTCAACTAAATGATTTGAAAAGCCTGACGTAAAGCTTTTCAAATGTTACTTGGATTTAAAAATATTTTTGAACCCTCTGGACAAGTAAAATAGGATTTAATGGATAATTTATACAACAGGTAGGACACTAACACATCTAGTACTTAGAATAAGGCTATTTTTTATTTTCTGGAGCTGTCAAGCCAGCAACAGTGTTATTCTCCCTTTAAGCGTGGAGAGACTAAAACAAAACTGCATACTATACAGCTTTGTTATACCATATATAAAGTATATGGAATTAAACGAACTAAAATCATTGACGTGCCGGGCGCAGCGATGCGAAAAGAATTCCAAATGCTTTCATAATTGCTAACTAACAATAAACTCCGCGATGTAAATCTTTCTCAGCAGTATAAAGTTTTCTCCGCCGTGCTAACCTTTTCTCCGCGGTTTAGACATTTTCTCCTCGGTTTAAACCTTTTCTCCTCGGTTTAAACCTTTTCTCCGCAGTGGTGAAAACCTTTCCTCCGCGGTGGAAAATCACATGATTTCTCCGTGAGGAAAAGGTGTCCGTGGGTAAGGGTTCCAAAATATCCTGAGAACAGAGGTGGGGAAGAGCGGTATTTCTACCGTATTTTCATATTGCAGCTATATAGGCCGATCAGAGACAGTTCCTAAAGGAAATAAGATAGACGAAGAAATTGATGAAACATTATTTAGTTACTATCGAGCTGTCTATCAGACCAATGGATTGTTAGATTATTCGTCTGTTAGATATCTTGATTCACCAGAATGTTGACGTCAAATAGCCGACGGTGAAAGTATAAACTTGTATGTTACAAAAGTCGTTCTCTCTTGATCGATCAAATTCTACGGTCATCCAATTTGTCCAGTTATATCGAAATAAAATAACCCAATTTTACTCCCCAAAACATAGGGTAAAGTGTTGTATTTAAAATTCCCACTTCATTGTAATTATCAACACGGGTGTAATATGTCGCGGTAAACTTATTTCAGCATAAGACTTTTTGGCGTCATTAACTTCATCTCTTTTATTCGAATCAATGGGTGTTGGCATGATTATTTTTCGGAAACCGTGCAGCTAGTTTTGAATTCAGTTCACTATTGGTTATACAGTACAGTTTGATCTGACTCTCAAGGTTGTGTGTGAACTTTTTTCAGCGTTGATTGTCCCAACCTCATCATTTGCAATTTGTCTTGATCCTTCCAGGTTTGTCGAATTTTAATTCTTACTGCAGGTAAATTTAAGAATTTATATCGACTTTCTTAATCGTGCTAAACCTAACAATGTTTTAACTTTAGTCTCTAATATGCTCGTTAATGTCAGGGGTTGGTTTTTCCAAGTAACCTGTCAAACAGAACGGTTCATAAAGTCAAAATCGTATGGTATCGACCAAGATTCGTCATGTAGATTAATTGTCTCAGATTTTTGTTTCGTGTTTTACTGGTCGACTTTGTTGTTATGCACTTATCCCCGATTCTAATTCACACATTTAAACTTAATGGTTATTGTAGCTGTTGAATATGCAATGGAACTGATTTAATGGTATAGATAACTGAATAAAATTTTAACACCATGCAATTTCAGCAAAAATGTAGGATGGTAGTTATGTCGATTTCAGTTATCGCACCATTAACAAGTCTGGTTGATTTCCGAATAAATATACGGAACAAACTGCATGGAACTATAAATGCAAATAGATTTACCACCCCACTCATTGATAAAGATGATAATTGTTGCCTGGCTTGTCCTCCTTCAATGCATCTTAACAGTAAATATTTATTCAAGGGGTGACACAAAATTTGTCGTAAGTAAAATACCTAATATTTAGAAATGAATCTTGAACGGATAGAATCAACGAAAAAAACTGCGAGAAGGGATTCTTTTTTGATATTTTGAATTACAGATGTTAAATAAATTAAACTAGTGATTTATTGTGATTTGAATAAAAAATAAATTGGTGAAATTCGAAATATATATTTATTAACTTATCATATACTAGTATTTGGATCCATCTTCTTTCAACATTCTTTCGGCTAATCTTTTTCGGATATGTCAGACAGTTTATAATCTGACACTCAAAGTCAACGGTTTACAATCTACCTATAAAAAGAAATTACCGCTATGGCCTCGTGCTCATTAGCATAACAATTCCATTGCCTCGCTCTGTTTGGTGGAGTACATCGCACGCGTGCGCTTTGTGATGGTTTAGCTAAAGGGCGCTTATTACAAACTTGTGAACTTGTGTATGCTTCAGAATAGACCGAACAATCATCCTTGACAGTACAGAGAGCTAGGATCTGTTTCCTAGATAAGAAACATTTTGTGAAAAGAAAATGCCGCGATGTTTCTTACTTCGACGGCCAGCCGACATCATTGATTTAAAACGAGCTCACAACACTGCTAAAGATGGCGAAACTAGTGACCAGTTAACAGTGGACAGTGGGAATGGACCCGACACTGACAAAGAAAACCAAGATGTATCATCTCAAGATGCAGGTTTGTTGATGTTTATTTACAAAGTTGTGTTGTTGTCATTGTAATTTATATTATCAACCCATGGATATATACCTTGATGATGAATTTAAAGTTTGTTAAAAAAAAAACCGTAATTTAAAACGTGTATGTAATACGACTACACTATAGTCGGATGGTGGTGTTTGTTTACACGAACCTACATGGTATGTATAGTGTACTGATCAATGGCCATTCATGCGAAACATATAGGATGCTCACACAGCAGGTTCACGTGTTGCTTTTGCTCAACAAAATTGTTCAGTGCTACAAAAGCAATTTTCTGTTCATCGACATCAGTTTCTGTATACTTACCCAAGGCTATAGAGCCCAAAGCTGAGCTTTGAATGCAATTAATGTCATATTTGATTAAATTAAACTGGTATCCCCAAACAGATAGTAACTTGTGACATTGATTAGGTCGAAATAAAACAATGTTTAAAATATTCAACCATTCATGTATACGTTAAAGTTATTTCAAAATAAAGATTAACGTGTTTGTTCACAACATACACGAGCATGCGAATAAGCGCGTGCTGGGCATCGCTCAAAACCTGTGAAAATCTTGTTTAAATTACGATTCGGTACACACTACTCAATATTTTGTACAAATGAGAACATTATTTGCTCAAAATCATTTTTTATAAGAACTAAATATTGTCAGAACTAGAATATACGTATATATAATTTATATACATGTACTGTTATCCAAATAAAAAAAAAATTGGGCGGAATGGAATACAAATACTATTCCCGTCTTGCTCGATTATTTAATGAGTTATTTTGAAAATATTTCTTTATTTGAATCAAAGATGATGTTAATAATTTGCACTGCCTATTTTATTCGACGGGGAACACACATGCCCTGTCAAACACTGATAAAAAAAAACAGAAACGCGTGTAATGTTTTGTTGAAATACGGGTTGCACATGTATGGGTAGGTTAATTTTTTTTATAATTTCAATACACAGAGGTATAAATTTATTCAAAGCATGCACCAGATACGAGATTAGGTTTATTACGAAAATTGACAGTGAATACACAGATGCAATTCTTATCACTTTGAATTTTACCGCGCTGTCAGCAGACGGCTTTATTGATTGGCAGACTGTAATCTCGTGCCAATGGCCATCTGCTGTCGTACATAACGATCATTGAGGCAGTAAAAGAATGCTCATTATGCTCCTGTCCATATTATTATATTGCAAATTAGCCCCATATCCGTTTGTCGGCTAAATTGCAATACAATTGCATTCTTTGGAAAATATTAAAGAATGACTTTGGACAATTCCGCAAAAGATTTAATCCAATTAAGGAAAAATTTAAATAATTTACCAGTTCAACAGTTTTACACCATTTTCTATTGTAAAATAAATCATAGTATTGATAAATGAATTGGCATCGTCGATAAGTTAGTTATTCTGATTATCATACAAAATGCCGTGGTTAAGGGGTGTGGGGCGTTTATATACATAGCAGGCTATTTATCAATTTACTTATTTTCCAATTAGATCTTAACTGATCATAAAATTGCTTTTTAATTGGTCAGTTTTGTTATTACCAAGCAGTGGTATGCCTAAGATTCTGTCTTGCGAAATTAGTTATTCTATGAGCGAGCTTTTCTTGATACAGGTAATAACAAACAACCAGTAGTCTATAAGGCCATACTCGGACCTTTATTTTCGTCTTTTACACGTCAAGAAATTCAACATCAACACTTTTGTCATTATTGACGGACACTTGAGAAATTGTCCAAGATGTCATAGACTAGTGTAGTAACGGGCTCTAGCCTTACGTTGACCTTATAATTTTACAGCGGAGAATTTCAACCTTTCTTCAACTGCCTTTTATCAAATTACTATAAAGTAACACGGTGTTTATTCATGCCTACAATTAGTTTTGATATCTCGTGCACGCGACATGACAGACAGATGTTTTCAAATCAGTTATAACTCGCGCTTCACGTTAAGAACAAAGGAAAGTTGTCATGGAAACGCCATTCACCGAACGCTTCCGGTACTTTTGCCGTTACATTAACACTCTTCCTTTGTTTAATTGATAGTCTCGGTTCTCCAATCTTTCAACTATCGATCATCTGCCGGCCCGTTACATAGATTTGAATTTTTCCCCGGGAATCGGGAAACAAAGAAAAGCTATTTTCAAATTAAATATTGTTGTGATTATTGTTTTTTGTTTTTTTTTATATTATAGCAGAATCACAAACTCCCCAATACAGAGGTCTATATCCAAATTGTTATAATTAACTATTGTTTATAGGTTTCAAAATGCCTCATAATAATTAAGATTTATAATATAATGAACGCATAAACTCCATTACCCGAGGTTAGAAAAGTATTTTATTGGTTACAGGTGTTTTAAGACCGTTTATTATGTGATAAACTGTTATTTATGGCATAAGTAATTGGTACACGTCTGATTCTACATACAAAACAACCAGCACCTTTCTTTGAATAATAATAATAATAAAAAACCGAATAGATTATCGACTTGATCTTATGGATATAAAAGTATTAAATGTAGCTGATAAATGATGAAATGAAGATCATTTACATGTCGTGTGTAATGAATTACAGATATTTAAGACCCACTTTTTGAGGAGGTTTTCTCTTCAGGTTTGCCCACCTTAAAATCTTTCGAAATCCAAATTCAACTATGGGCTCTAAATTTAAATCAGTTTTGGACTATTTTACATTTTAAGATGACCGATACAATTAAGGTATACATCGTCGATTTAATCACAAAACGAAATCTATCTACTTTTCTCTTGGGTAGATATTCCCACGCCCCTCACAGACGCGTCATCTTCAGTTCTTATGTTAATTTGATCACCCAGATGCAGAAGAGGAATAAATTCAACATTTGATTCTACTTAAAGGGAGAGACCTGGGACATGGAATGTATCCCAGTGGACTTAACTTTTAAGATTACAGAAATCGTTCTTGAAAACTTTGAAGATAACAGAAAATTTTCTTGACACCTGTCTAACGTAAATGATTAAGCACAATAGATTCGCATCCACTTAATAGTCTTCACTTGATCGTAAAACTTTTTAAATAGTATGGACATTTTCACAATTTCATTTGAATTGAGTTTTTATTAAGTTTTGAAATAATGAGATGTATGCATGTCGGATAACTACACATTTATTTCAGGGTATAATAAAAAAGAAAAAAAAATGCCAATGCATATTAAACGAAACGTGTCGTAAATTATTCCGATACTGAATAAAATAAATATCAGTTTAGTTAATTACTCGTAACAGAAAAAAAAACAAACAAAAAACCCATGAGAAAATGAAGTAAAGTGAAACAGATGCTAAACCTACTGTTAAAATAAAGACAATCTTATATAGACCTATTCTAACTATTGTTATACTAACTTTTACGCTACACACCTGTGTTGCGGAATGCCGAACTGAGAACAAGTACTTTACTTGGGAGAAAACACACACTTTCAATTCATTGCGGTTTGCACCTGTTGACAATTGGATGACAATTGCTTTTTTTATATAAAATAATCTAAATGTTATTGTTATCAGTCACACATCAGAGATTCAATATAGTTCGTCTATTCGTTCATCCACTGTTCGTCCGTCCATCAGTCCATCCATACTATTTTTCACACACCGACCCAAACTTTTGTCATTTATCTCGTTGACCTTTGTTTATCGAAGGGAAAAATATACAATAGTTTGGATATCTACAATATCTATAATCCATTATAGTTTACCACCATCATTTCAGAAAATATGTCTCAGAGTTTGGGTTTGAAAACTCTGTTATACAGTTATAATGTACAAAATAAGATATGTTATGAATATAGGCACTACATGATAAAATATATGACCACCCACCTAATATAGGAAAATCGAATTCCAAGTCTATAAATGCAAAGGAAAAATTAGTGTAATACTAAGTGCACTGTATAGTGGGGCATGTTAAGGTGGCTGACGCCAGTTAAAGTGGTGGACGCTAAGTAGTAGGACTATCGGGTGACCCGGAGGTAACGAGCATACCCGGTATTGTGCTCGACACCCACCACATTATGAAACATAAGTTAGTTACAGTACATTAAATCTTATAATGTATTTTATGGAATCTTCATGTACCAATTTTCTTCTTAAAAAACATTTCTATATAATAAAGAAAGGCCGACCATTGTTGTTATATCCTGAAATCTATTAAATATATCTTGTTCTTGCAGGTGTTTCGCCTTGTAAAAAGCCTAAGAAAGACATTGATGACGTCACAAATACAGATATTAAAATACGACAGCCCGTTAACACCAGCCTTGAAGACAGTGGGTTTCAAGAAGACAGTAAATTATGGTTACCATCTAATTTTAGTTCACCGATGCTTGATCGTCAATACAGATCGATGTCTCCTGATGTCTCCATTCCATCTTACACCGTTACAGACATCAAGACTCCTAAACGGTGCTCGTCCGTACCAGGACCCAATGTTAATTCAAGTGTAAGCTTTCCCTCCTCGTATAGGTCAACCATTCCAAGTTTTAATAACGGTATCAATCTTTCAACAAATTCCAAAATGCTGTATCCCGACATACCAGCGTCTCCCTTATCACGATATACACCAAATATGTGCCAGACGGTCTTGGTCAGTTCCAGGATGTCTTCTTTACCAGCTCTTGCTACATCAAACCGCCCACAAATTGTTCGAGCACCATCAAGACCACACAAATGGGAAAGTCCCGTGATGGAATCGGGGAATGCCCGAGTGCATAATGGACATGTCCGACGTTTTGGACCCCAGTGTCTCTCTCCTATAATTGCGACACATAAGTCAACGGGGACCATTCGTCACCCTGGTTTTAGCCCATTACCATATCCAGCAGCTGTTGAAGGACGTTTGATTCATCACTATACTCCTAGACCACTCGGTAAGCTCCCATTTCCATTCCCGTTAAATCGTGGAGCAAGTCCAAGAAGACCAGACTTTATACAGATGGCAGGTACTTCTACACCAAGACTTGGGACACCAATGCTTTCTCCGATGTTTTCAATTCCACCAGGCCGACCTCCTCTACCAACCACGCCAGTAGGACTACTGAAAGAGAGTCAAATACAAACTTCTGAATATTTACCTTTAGACTTGACTAGAGTGCCGACATCACGCAGGTCCCCTAGAGCAGGCTGTACACCTGAACCCACAGACCCAAGTCGGGCATATTATATAGGCAAACCAATTCCAGCACATGTACCGAAAGGTGTTAGTTTACGTCTTGCAGAAGATGAGAATAACTCACCTAATACGAAAGCACATTTTCCATATGAACAACCGTTGACAACGCACATGCATGAAAGAAGTCTGCAGGAAGAGAACCAGCATACTCCTTCAAGACCCATTCTAGTCACTGACGCACCAGTACCCGCAAGACATTTATCTAAGTCACCATCAACTTTATGTCAAAGAGACCGTTCAACGCATCAACAAAGTGGCCCTAAAGTCGAGTCGACCGCAAGTCATCTTACTGGTCAAGTATCGAACATCAACTCTCGATCATCCTCTCCAGTCCTCCCAGAACGACCACCATTGCCCCCTGAAGACCCTCCTGTCAGACACTGGAAGAAATCCCTGGTTGTGAAATCACCCTTCCACTCCCCACCTCCAGATGTTAAGGCGGACGAGAATACTAGACTGGCTAGAGACACCCCTTCTCCTCCGTTACTCAACTTATTACAGGTAAGACCACACTACAATTCTTTCAAATCCCAATGATTGTATTGTTCAGTATGTTCCGAATGGACTAGCTCTAGGGAACAAATGAACTTTTACTATATTAAAACGGTATCTCATGAAGCCAAGTGGTGTGTCGATCCGCGTACATAACGAGCAGTAGGGTCGCATGTCTAAACTCGTGAGGTTTCTCTGTCCCCTTTGAAATAAATTTGAACCATATATTAGTCCCGAATTGACACAATAGGGTGTCTTTATTCAGTAGTATATTAAATAACGTCGTTAGAAATAAATTATGTTGTTATTTTACAGACGGCTGGTAAACTAGATATTGAATTAATCAATGGCGGTTATGGAATCAAGAATCCTTCTTTTAGTGAACTTCATCTCAAGGAGCTGGAAAATATTGCTGCTGGTAAGTTGTATTATAAGATTGAACCTTACTGAATCACTGACCCAACAAAGCTTTGTTCACGTATGAATAATGGGTGGCTAAAACCACAAACAAAACTATATCAAGACTTAAAAAATCAGGGAGACAAAAATGTACAAATAGAAAAAATATAGAAACTTACAAAGGGTATCCATGCTAAGATTATACAAGTTGGTCCAATTTTGAAAATAACCACTCCTTTGTTTCTTATTGTTATATAATCGCATTCTTGTTTTTAGGAAATGGTAAAGAAAACTGCAAGTTTAAGTGTCCAATATGTCAGAAGGAATTTGCCCTGTTACGTCTATTAAACCGACATGTGAAGAATCATAGTGATATTAAACGTTATTTGTGTACGTTTTGTGGTAAAGGTTTTAATGATACATTTGATTTGAAGAGACATACCAGAATTCATACAGGTACGTGAATTTAAATTACTTAGCTCAAAAAGTTTATGAACAGTGACCCTGGTTTACTTTATCGGGTTTCCCCTGTATTTTGATCGTCCATTAGTATATTTACCGTTATCTATTTTGTTGATCTATTAGTATACGTAAAAGTCGTGTTACTAGGTTCAATAAAGTTTTGTATGTTTACATTCTAGAACCATAATCAAAGATTCGGATTTGGACATTTATTCTGATGTATATTTATTGGGGCCGCATTTTATTTTTTCAGGTGTCAAGCCCTATAAATGTGAAAACTGTGGAAAATCCTTTACACAAAGATGTTCCTTAGAATCTCATGGTAAAAAGGTGCACGGATCAGAGTTCACATTTGCCTATAAACAGAGACGCGGGAAAATGTACGTCTGCGAGGACTGCGGCCACACAACCCCAGATCCAGAACTTCATTTTGTTCATCTAAAGGAAAACCACCCCCAGTGTCCTGCCTTGGTGAAATGTCATGACAAACGTCAGTTCAAATTCTCCGAAAGTGCGCCATTGAATGTATTGAAACCGGTGAACTAAGTCATTCTTCTAACTTTCTGTTTTCAAGTACTGTTAATGCTAAAACCAAACAACAATTTGGTATGTTTATATACAAAAATACTCAAAATATGGTTTCCTATGTAAACCTCTTTAAATTCAGTGATCCAGTGAATTAAAATTGTTGGTGTTACTTGTATGTTAATGACAACAGTGCTAGTGTATACGACACGACCAGAATCTCAGATATACATTTTTATAAGTCAGTCAAATTGTTTTAAATATGTTACTAAAATTAGAAAAAAATGAAGAGATATTAAAAAATCAAAGGTTTTTCCGGTTTTGGAGAACATTGTAGATTTTAATTTTGACAATTCGGTGACTTAATGCTCTAAAAACATTTGAGTTTGTTTCTTTTGGACACTTAACTGTGCTCCGGCTATGGTCAATGAACACGATGTAAGAATCATTTACTACCTTTATTTAGTTGTCAGTGACGCTACTTCCTGCTCAGTTGTTATGACAACCAATATCATCACCTGTATTTATTTATTAAGTGTTTTCTTTTTCAGATCCGCTGCGTGCCATTTTGTTTTGTTTTTTGATTGATTTTTGATGTCCTATATATTCTATCTCTCTCTATTTTCTAGCTGTTTCAATCCTCACTTTACTTGCCAAAAACTGATCATTTATCCTCTATTCTCTCTATCCATTTCTCATATAATCTTTATACTGTTTATTTTTTGTTATTTGTTTTTGTATATATGTATATAAATGTTAAAATGTTACTGAAATGAGATCTTTGATGGAGACCAAATAATTGTTTGACATTGACGTTCTAACATATCCATTTATAATTAAATTGGGATATGCCGACGATGCATTGTTGCGAAACGCCTATTCCCATTCGATTTAGTTGTATGGCATATGATACCGCACAGAAGGTCATTATGCTGTAAGAAAGTATGACTGATTTTGGCAGATACAACAGCCATTGAATTTTCACAAAAACTCATGGTTTAATCAAAAACTGTATTCAACAAACTTCATTCTTGTTTACCCCATAGTTCCCCAAGATCGACATATCTTACTTTATACTATTTATGGAGTGCTAGAGGGAACATTCAAAGTTGATTAAGACATTGTATTCAGTGAACAGTCTCACTGTAAGAAGGGACAGTCTAAGAATACGTCATTTGGTTTTTAATGATACGGATCTCATTTACTTTGGTTGTGAAATACATTTTTCTGTCTCAAATGTGACAAACATTTTTTGTGAGTGTTTTTTTTTTCTCAAGTTAAATGTGAAACAAAGTTGAATATTGTACTGTGCTAGTGTCTTATAGCTTTAATTCTTTGTGTGTTAACCTCTTCTCTTGTCATTTGCTTTACCTGGGCTTAATCCCCGCCCCAACCCCATATCATATCAGTCTTAATTCTTTGTTATGGATTTTTTCCAATAATTGAACACGATGTTTATTAGTTAGATCTTTAATTGATCGAAGGCCCAATTTTCTGCTTTCATTCGTAAGGTTTTTTATTTCGAAATTGTCATTTGCAAGATCATGTCCATGTCCATCTTTTATATAGGGTTTGTTATTGCATATAACGCAATGATATCTAATCAAGAATTAAATTGTTTTAGTTTCATTTATTAAAATTATTTGCATAATCAAATAACTAAATACTCCACATAATATACCCTTAATTTGTCATTCATGATAAAAATAATTGATCTTTGTTAATTATGTTCTTACTAAATCAACAATTAATCATATCTATTTGCATTAACAGTACCATGTGGATTAACATGATTGTCATCTCAACTAAAAGTATTGGTTTGAGAATTCCATCTTGAAACTAGAATTCAGTTTAATTGATGGTGTAAAGCTTAATTAAATATCCAATCTAAGTATTTTAGTTTTAAGAAAGCAAGCAACAGATATGGGATGAATGAGTTATGGGTCTTATTTCTAGTATTTATTGAAGTTGTGAGTATTAAGTAATTTGTAACACGAATTCAATTGTTATTCAAATTAATCGCCGTATTTACATAATAAGCATAATTAAATATCGAACTAAACAGCTAGGAGTCCAGCTAAAGAAAGAATATTATAATTAGGTAATTATGTGGGCTTTATTCTTGTATTAATTAAAAATATGAGTATTATTTAGTTTGTAACTAAAGGTCTTAGTTTTAAGAAATCCATCAAAATGATTAAATTATTATTAAGTTTATTGTGTGTTTTCTTAATTATTATGCGTATAGAATTACAACGATAACTAATGGCATAATTAAATCTGGAACTAAAAGGTTTTAGTTTAATGATTAATTATTTTTCATTCCCATCGTTTGTTTTCGTGTTTTGTCACTTCTCTATCTTAGTATTTATATTATTTCTGTGTCCCCCTCTCTCTGTTTATTTATAAAGAGTTGTGAAAACTCGTGATATGTTTTTTTCCCGTTTTATAAGAATATTTCAGTGCAATAAATTTATACAAAATGTTTAACTACCATTAAAATCATTCGTAAAACAATAATTGATCTTTAGTTGTTTTGGGTTTTTTTATACGCCCACATTGAAATGTGTCGTCGTATAAGGCCGTCGCCCCCGTCCGTCGGTCCGGCGTCCACAATTCCCAATAATTACTGCCAGAGTTATGGCCCTTGATTACTTTGAAAAATCTTATGGATGCTCTACAGGCAAAGGTTAATATCCGATTGACTTGAGACGAAGAAGCCTTGTGATTTCTAATAATTACTGCCGGAGTTATGGCCCTTGATCATTTGAAAAATCTTGTGGACGCCCTTGAGGCTAAAGTTAATATCTGATAGCTTCCAGAATTATGGCCCATGGCAAAAGAAAAAAAATATGCGCCAACCCTTGTAGCCTGCCCGTACGACCTGGCAACCTATCTTCTAAATTTATCTTTATGGTTTGTGGAAGATTTTTCACAGCGTGTTCCCACTTTTCCAGGTAGGGAACTAACTACTGCGTAGGGGTGGGGGTCTTTAACAGTGAGCGGAAACGGGGGAAAACCTGCGGAATGTTAAAAATGTTATAGTCAAAGAAATCTCATGGATGTAAAATTTAAGTCAATGGCAAGCGGTGTATCGGTACCAGTCGGAGTCATATTCTTCGAAGAGTTGTTGTCCCAGAATTCATTGTCTTGTACTGCTGTATAGTATAATATTTTGGGGTTTTCCCATACAGCTCGCAGTGTTTGGTTTGATTAGATCTAACCTCTAGAGAAGGAGGGATTTCTCGGACCATTGCTTTTGGAATATGGTATTATCCATTGATCATGAAGAATGCACGAGACTTCCTCGGTTGTGAAAAATTGTGAACGTTTCACAGCCAAGTTTTTCCTTGACTGTTTCTTGTTCGAGTTTAGAGAATCTTTTCAAATACTAAATGGAATTTGAAAAAACTGTAATAGTAAGTGCAGGAGGACCGCACCACACACAAACTATTACAAAACATAAGCCTACGTACAGGACACAATATACACAGACACCTCAAATCAGATCAAGTCAATGCATCCGAGAGCTAGTCGTAAGCGTCCACTACGATGTACAGTCCAAGGCATGTAGATACATGCTTCACTCAAAAGTAGCAATAAGGGAAGCAGCTCAAGATAAAACTCTAGTAAAGTATGTTCGTTGAAATACGTGAAGAGTCCAAATCGTTTTTTATAGTTCAAAATTTCGTTTTACTTGACTTTACTACACTAGGATCTGGAAAGGTTGTTATAAAATCCTGCTCCGGATGATGTGAGGGATTAGCCAATGAAACGGTCTGATACGGCGAGTTTTTGGCGTGAGATGAACGGAACTGTGGGTAACCCACTAGAAACATCAACGCTGATTGGTTAATCAAATGTCTGATGCAATAGGTCAAAAGCCGCTCGTGTGACCCCTGGCGCAACCTTCCACTACATCGGTTAGATCTTCATGTAGTAGAGGCCATCGAAAGTCGAAATAAAACGAAACACAGATCTATATATTAAAGATATATTATGGGAGATTCAATAAAGAGTTGGCAGTTCTCACTATAATAATTAAAAACTAGATAATGTAAAGGCAATGTACTAAAAATTTCATTCAAATTGATCCACTATGAACCGAGAAATAAGCGATTGGAATTTCCACATAGCCTCGATCGTCATTACTAAAGTCGAACTTTAAACAGCATAGTCTCGATTATCTAATTAATCGTTAAATCGTGAAGGAAAGTTATGCAGTAAATCGGCTCATAATCCGCTAAAGATAGCAGACTAGCCATGTCATCTAGAGTTGATTATGGTCTGGATAGGTTAATTAATGTCTAATTAATAATTTAGATAACATTTCAGGCCTAAAGAAAGACCTGCAATAGACAGATTTAGCTCTTGCATAATGTATGTTTAATCAGAGTGAAATTGAACGGCAGTCGCTAGTCCATTCTACGCGGATTTTTATTATCATTATTTTGTCCATTGTGAATCATGTATTATTTTGTGGCATATATTTTTCTTTGTTCATCGTGTACTGAATTTAAAATGTTCATGGTAAAATAAAAACATCAAGTTTGAATGAACTGGACCGATATTGCATTCTAATTAGTGTTTATAAATGCAAAGGCGATAGATAATATTGAAATTCGGTCGATTACTGTAAGTTTTTGTTTTTTTTTAATGTTTTTTGCTCGGGGGGAGGGGGGGGGGTCTTTTCTCAAAATGTTGCAATTTGAATTGTATGACTAAATTACTTAGATTCGTCTATACAATGAGCGGTATGTGACCAATCAAGTGATTGGCTGATTGCCACAGATTTCAAGTCACTTCTAGCTCTACCACCCCCCACCACCGTTAATGTCGTATTTTAAATCATCAATGTGTCATACCTATTAAAACTAATTACTTTGTCGGTGCACATTAATCCATTTCTACTGATTGATTCATCTTATTACTAATTACTTTAATTAACTAATCTATTAAAGATCCCGACAAATATTAATTAAGATACCTTCGACTTTCATCTATATATTTGACAGGTGATCAACAATTATTGAGGGCAGTAGGTATGATGTGATATTTCATCAGAGTTATTCGTTCTGACGACCATTTATTTTGATTTGTAACTGAACAGTATATGAACTAAAAAAATGGGATGCCAGGAAAATCCCGATGAACCTTCTGGATCGACCAGGTTTGCGAATCAACGTTCTTCTCACTGAGTCATTGCGGCTCTCTACGGAGGTGGAAAGACACGTGTTTGAGGATATACTCATGTTTTTGTCAAAACTTTCTCATTTTAATACATCCACATTTTTATGTAGACGTGACTGTTGTCACCCCAGTCCGCCCGGGCATCCGTTCAAAATTTGTTTG